TGTTGTGGGTCTAATGTATAGTAGTTAAGTCCTAAAGAGTCACTCAATCATATCCGACTCTCTGTGACCCCAAGGACTGTAGCCCAACAGGCTCCTCTGTCCATGGGATTTCCCAGGTGAGAATACTAGAGTCATTTGCCCTTTCCTTCTCAAAAGTCCTAAAGAATAGAGACGTAGTCTAAAATAACATCATTAAGAATAAAACTCAATTTAAACAAAGCCAAAACCTAGATGAACATTTGAAATGATAACAAAGGCCTTGTTTGGGGTGAGGAAGATAGATTCTAGATGTTGATTAATTTATTGTAAACAAACTATTTGCAAATTGTAATATGAAATATGTATCTCTTTTAAAAGTCAAATACACAATTACCAGAATAAAATATTGGCCCACCACCTTTTCATCCCCACTTTTCATTCCTGAGAAGCAACGACCTTAAAGTGTTAACACTTTTACAGTATCATGCTATTTACCTCCTTCCAGCTAAGTAACACACTTCTGCTCTTCTCTTTCAGCTTAAGACCTTGTTGGCTTCCTAAAATGACTGTATGTATGTTTGTTTCCAGACACACACCCCGCATGTACCTAACATACACATCCAAACAGGCTGTTCATTTTGTGAATAATTCACCACACTGATGATTATCATTTTGCATTTTTTCTGTAGCTTTTATGCCTCACTTAAAAACTTATTTTTAAATGAGCAAGGAAACGCCGTTTGCTTTAGTAGGACAAGAGCGAGAGTTCCATAGGAAGAAATGCAAAATCAAAACCAGAAACCGAGATTCCATGGTACCCGAATCCCAGATCTATAGGATATTTTTAAAAGCTGCCTTGTGAACTGTTAAGTACATATAGAAAATATTAAGCATCAATATGCACTATGAGTAATTTTAAAACTCAAAGAAAATTGTTAAAAGCAGGGCCTTGGATATCTGTACAACAATGTTCACAGCAGCGTCTCTCACGATAGTCAAAAGGTGGAAACAGCAAAAGTGACTGCTGACAAATGAACGGATAAACAAAATGTAATACAGACATACAATGAAGTATGATTCCCACTTACGAGGAAGGGAGGTCTGACACATGCTACCATATGGATGAACTTTGAAGACAAGATACTAAGTGAAATAAGTGAAGTAGCTCAGTCGTGTCCAACTCTTTGTGACCCCATGGACCATAGCCTACCAGGATTCTCCATTCATGGGATCTTCCAGGCAAGAGTACTGGAGTGGATTGCCTTTTCCATCTCTAGGGGATCTTTCCGACCCAGGGATCAAACCCAGGTCTCCCACATTGCAGGCAGACACTTTACCGTTTGAACCACTGTAGGCCAGTTGCAAAAGGTCACACTGTGATTTCATCATATGAGCTACCAAGAGTAGTCAGCTTCTGAGAGACAGAAAGTGGAATGGAGATTGCCAGGATCTGAGGGAAAGGGGGTTAGTGCTTAATGGGGACAGAGTTTCAGTTTGACATGATGAAAAAATTCCAGAAATGGGTAGTGGTGATTGTACAATGATAAGAACGTACCACTGAACCACACTCTTAGTTCATAAAGGTACATTTTATGTTAGGTATATTCCACTACATTAAAAAAAAGAAGAGGAAGAAAATTGACAGTATGCAAACTGACAGGATCTTTCTTTGTCCCCTCAGTCATAACCACCCTTCCCATCCTCTCTGAAGCAACCACTTTTGTAGCCTTTTATATTTCGGTAGAGTTTACCACCCAAGCCTGAATTCCAAAATGACATCACTTTTAAACCTTCAGTAAATGGAATTAAAACAATGCATGCGTCTACTTTTTGCTCTCCATTATTTTGTGTCAGATACATCTGTGTTGTCTGTAGCTACAGTTCATTTTCATTGCTGGATAGCATTTTATCATATAAATATCTAACTGTTATTGATGGGCATTTAATTATTTTCAGGTTTTGGCTATTTCAAACAGTGCTGCTATAAATGTTATTGTATCTCATTATTATTGTTATTGTATGCATGCATGCCTCAGTTTCTACAGTATAATACCCAGGAGTGAATCACTTGGGTCAGAGGGATACAGGAGCTTCTACACGCTCAGGAATGTGATGTTTTTTAAAGTGTTTATCCTGGCTTGTGCACTGTAACAATGTATGGAAGCTTTGATTTTCCACATCCTAGTCCCTACAGGTTTGGTCCATCTTTATTGCCAATCTGCGGTAGTTTTCATCTCTTGGATTACTGATGAGTTTGAGCAGGGCTGAGTAGTCGCAACGGAGGATGGTGTGGGTACTACCTAGTCATTTACAAAAGCAGGGTGTCCCAGTCTTAGAGAACAAACTTCCTGTGTCCGGGGGCAGGGCGGCGGAGGGAAGGATGAGGAGAGGGATGGCTGGGGAGTTTGGGATGGGCATGTACCACTGTCAGATTTAAAATGGATAACCGAACAAGGTCCTGCTATGTAGCACAGGGAGCCTTGCTCAGTGTTATGTGGCAGCCTGGCTGGGAGGGAGGTCA